GCGCAACAGGCCCAAACCCCAGACCTCCCCTACGCCCAGCTCCTCACCACGATCCACTCCCATATCGCTGCCAAGCTCGGCCTCGCATCCCCGCCGCCGTCCGCCGAAGCCTCAAAGGCCTTTGGCGACTCCGTCGGCTCCTGGCCCGCGTTCCCGGACACGGTCGACGCCCTCCGCCGGCTGAGCAAGTACTACAAGCTCGTCGTCCTCTCCAACGTCGACCGGGACTCGTTTGCGCTCAGCAACGCGGGGCCGCTGGCGGGCGTGCCGTTTGATCTTGTTGTCACGGCGCAGGATGTCGGTTCGTATAAGCCCGACCAGCGCAACTTTACGTATATGCTGCGCGAGGTGAAGGAGAGGTTTGGGGTTGAGAAGGAGCAGGTGCTGCAGACGGCGCAGAGTCAGTTCCATGATCACCATCCGGCCAAGGAGGCCGGTATCAAGTCGTCTTGGATTGTGAGGCCTGGGGCGGTGATGGGGAATAGGGATCGCGAGGTGTTTGATTGGAAGTTTGATACGTTGGGGGAGATGGCTGATGCGCTTGAGAAGGAATTGGCTTGAAGCTGGATCTATGTATACACTATTCAATGCCATGTTCAAGTGCCATCCTACGCGAGGTGGACTATCTACTACTTGGGTTTTGACATCTTGAAGCGTTGCGCCACTATGAAGTTGCAACAACGTACGCAGGAGTAATGGGCTCCATGAGCTCAATACCTTATCTTACTCCTCAATCTAGCCACAGTCTCTTGATCATCTCATTAGAAGCTATCAAAGTTTGTTGTGGAAGACATATACAGTGTCTCAACTGCTGCAACAATCATACTTTTCTTGTGCGAATCACTCAAAAACGATACGAGAAACTTGCACGCCAGAGAGCAAAACAGGATCAAGATAAGATGCGAAAGAGACATGTAGAACAAAGGCTAGCCCAATAAATCAGAAGTTAGGAAAATGCTTATACTCATCATCTGGAGGTAATTCATTTCAGGTTCCAGAGCCGAAAGCCGGTCCGGCCGAGACCGGCCCCGCCAAGCCATCGGGTCCACTAGCCTATCTCCCACCGAAGCGGGGGGAACACGGGGGAATCCCAGGAGGGACTAAGAGAAACACCTCCTGGCTAGCAAAACATATCAATGGGATTGCTTCACGCTCAATTGAAGCCTCTGATATAGTCAGGATAAATCACAATTCAACCTGTAATTTTCCAATAAGTCATAACACTCATAGTCATGACGTCGGACCTGCTTGCCGGCTTCCCGGCAAACGCACCACCCAAACCCAAGACCAAACTTCGATTCGCAGATGTAAGTTCACGAGCCCCAAAGCCCCCATCACGAAACTACATGCGATTATTATCTGCCTACATCATGACTTCAAGTTAAATCTCACACACCAACACTAGGTCGCAGTGACAGCAACAGCAAAAGATTTCGCCGGCTTCTACAGGGGAAAACAATACCACCAACCAGACTTTGACGCCGTCCTCGACCGCGCCTCGGCCGCAGGCGTCGACAAGGTGATGCTCACGGGCATGTCCCTCAGCGACGCAGCCAAGAATCTCTCCATTGCCGGATCGCGGCCAGCGGGGACGTGTCTCGTGGCGATTGGCATCCATCCGTATCACGCCGCGGAGCCCGATGCTGAAGAAGATGGCGGCGAGGAAGGTCATTTCAAAAAATTGGCAGAGGTCGTCCGCGAAACGTTGAGTCCCGCATCCGAAGGCAATCCATCGCCGTTGGCTGCGTTTGGTGAGTTGGGGCTTGACTATGACCGCCTGAACCACGCGTCCAAGGAGGCGCAGATTCGTACTTTTAAGCGGCAGTTGGACCTTTTCGTCGAGGAAAAACTGGATTTGCCCCTGTTTCTCCATTGTCGCGCTGCGTACGATGACTTCGTTGAGATCATCAAGCCATACCTCCCTAACCTCCCCCGCCGCGGGCTGGTACACTCCTTTGTGGGCGCCTCGGCTCAGATGAGAACCCTGGTGGAGCTCGGCTTCGACGTCAGTGTCAACGGCTTCAGCTTCCAGGACAGGGAAAGCTTAGAGATGGTGCGTGATATTCCGTTGGAGCGCTTACAAATCGAGACGGATGCACCGTGGGGTGAGATACCGGCGGGCTCGGAGGTGGCGAAGAGGTATCTTGGTAACGCGTCGGCTTTGCCGCAGAGCAAGAAGAAGGACAAGTTCGAGTTGGGTCTCATGGTGAAGGGGAGAAATGAGAGTTGTACCATGGACAGGGTGGCTTTTGTCGTGGCGGGGCTCAAGGGGTTGAGTGTGGATGAAGTTGCTGATGCGGCCTGGAGAAACAGTGTCAAGATGTTTGGATTTGGCGAAAGCTAACACAAGATGAAGCGAAAGAAGGATCGAGCCTTTATTGACCACAATATGGTGCGTGATACCAGTCTTACGGAGCTATCTCGATCGTGAAGGGGGTTCTCCCGTGCATACTCATCAGATCAGAGTGTCTTTTCTACCATGCTAATCCCCTCCTTCTCGAGCAACTTGCGGATAGGGTCACAGATCTCTGAAGTGTAGGGTGCCAACACCCCCGGCATATTCAAAGCAGGTTCCCCGTCCAGTAATAGCTGGGTAGCAATACCGCAGGTAACACCTACGGTCCTGGCCATGGCTGAATGCCCACCAGGTTCTCCGAAGAGCTCCAGTGTCGATGTGATGGTCTCCTATTCACGCGGGTCACTGTCAGATTTTGACTCAATTAGAGGGGAGGGGGGAGGGGGGGGGGAGGGGAGTTGCGGCGTGCATGCTTACTCTACTACCATCTTTCCACTCAACAATGAACTTGTGCTGGAGCATGACCAGATCTCTCTCATCGGGCTGATAGCTCATGAGCCTTTCGAGCTCCGCACACAGTGTGTCTAGGAGATTGCCGCGGAGGGTTGCCGGCTTGTCGGAAAAGAGCCCGATCCATCGCAGGCCGTCAATGATTCTGTTCCTCTCAGTGATGTCCGGAAATTCGCAAATCTCATCAATGCGGGTGGTAAGTGTCCTTTTTGATACATCAGTATTTCAGCCCGAACTAGTAGCATGTATGCTTGAATGACTTACTCTTCATCAGTCCCGGCAGCACCAACAGCCCGTCCGAAAACCTCCCGCAACATCAAACCATCAGTATCCTTCTCCAGCCATGTCAGTGGCTGCGTGTCCAGCAGTTCGAGCTTCGTCAACGCCGCCACAAAAGCCGGGTTTCCTTCATACCGCAGCGACCCGCGCACAACCGTCTCCGCTTCAGGAATTCTGTAAAACTCCCGAAAAGGGACGGAGTTCCGATTCGGATATGCGAGGAACGAGTACCCGTCCATCACGTGGTATGGTTTGGCCTGCTTCATGAGATCTTCGCGGGAAACATCAACGATCTGACCATTCTGGAGGTAGGATGCCGGGTTGAGCTGCGCAAGGAGCGAGCCTCGCGGCGACCAGGAGAATTTGAAGCGCAGAGGGTTATTGGAGCACTCTGGATCTGGGAGGCCGCCGGCGTACGAATGGAATTCCTTGATCTGCCGTTTGCATTGTTAGTCTGGTGATAAAGGGTAGTGCGTGAGCATGTAGTCGGGTTGGTTGTACTTTTCCTCCCTTGCTATGAACTTCTTCAATGATACGAATAGCGTAGAGGTGGTCGATTCCTAGGGGTTCATGCATGAGCTTAATGATCTTTGGTGTTGTGAGGAATCATGTCCTACCAGGATCGAGGCCAACTTCATTCAAAACCGTGATTCCGGCAGCCTTCACTTCAGATTCCAATTCTCTCATCGCCGGAGACACGTAGCTCGTGGTCACGACGTGAGTTTTGCCACGTATGCCAGCTTCGACGACATTCTGGTGATGAATGAATGGGACAAGTGAAATTACCAGGTCATGAGATGCCACATGGCTATCGAGCTTTGGAGATGCCACATCCAGAGAAATAGCGCTGGCTCGAGGGTGATTTGAAGCCAAACTTTCGGCTGTCGAAAGGGTTCGGCAAGCTGTTACAAAAGTGTTAGTGACCTCTGTTAGTGATTTCGAATGGAAGCGGAATGGAATACCTATTGTCAACTTGTTCTTCTCATTACGAAGCAGATATTCGACACATGGCTTGGCCACCAAGCCGCTTCCTACGATAAGAATCTTTTTTTCGGACATTCTATGAGCGCGATTCCCAGTTCGTAAAGAAACAAAAGTAGTTGTTATATCAGGTGTTGTCTTTGAAGCTGTTGTTTTGAGAGGATGAGAAGGAGATGAGCTATTCACATTACCGTTCTTATAAGCTTGGCCCCTCGGTCACCTTGATATGTAGCCGTCCTCGCTCTTCACTCAAACTACCATCTTAGACTTGAGTCATCCGGCGAGGGACTTCGATAAGCCTCCTTGTCATAAGAAGCTCAAAAATTGCGACATTCTTGTCTTGAAATGCGTAATTCGAGTGTTTTGCATATGGATTTGTCGGCTTCCAGCAGATTGATTGCGCAGCCAGTCTCATCGGCCGATCGGCCGACCGGGTTGCCTACAGTTAGGTTATACGATGCCGCTATCACACTTCGCGTCGCAAACTTCAGAAATCGCCGAGTGGAAACAGAGCGACTCGGTCGCAGCGAAGGACCTTAAAGTTGAGAATCGGACTCCTTACTGAGTCAATTCGAACTTGGGGCAGCGCCAGTAGCTGACTGATTAGACAACGAAAGCGAGCGAATTAACCCATCTCAGATCTTCAGCATCCCGAACTCCTGTCTAAGGGAGTTTCAATCTGATATCACATTCTACTAATCATTGAGGAAGTAAATTGAACATTTGCCATAAATGGAAGCGTTCGTCTACATCTTGTTATATCTAAATTATTCAGACGTCTTTCGCGATGCGCCATGATCAACGAAGCAAAAGCAAAATCCAGTTCATAACTACTGAGTTCCTCAGCAACTCGCAATGTCGAGCGCGCTGGGTATACCATGCCCAAGGTCATATGGCGAGTCCGACTGTACGACTTCTGGTATTCGCGTAAATCCTATCCAAGCTCAACTGGTGGCGGTGACCGAGAAACGTTCCCGTCTCCGGGTGCCTCTTGCACAGGAGGAGAATGGTATTTGGCGTCCGCAGCGATCTTTGGTGAAACTTGGATTTCTCCCTGACTATTCCCTTGATCACCAAGATCCCTATTCCCCCGATATCTCCTCCTCGCCAGTAGAATTCCTGCACAAACGGATAAGCCTACTCCCAGAATGGCCCCAATAACGATACCAGCTATGGCACCTGCGCCGAGACCTTCAGTACCGGACCCGGGTGTCGAAGTAACACTTGCCGCCGTTGCTGAAGAGCTCTCCGATGAAGTTGTGGTTGCCGAATCACTAGTTGGCGAAGGAGTGAGGAGTGTGGAAGTTGAAGTGGACCCGGATTCACTCCCATCAGGTAGTGTGATGAAGAATCTTGAAGATTGAGCCGAAGTGCTCGTCGAGCCATCAACAAAAAGCCCAAGGAAATAGTACGTGTCGCTGGGCGGGTCGGTCTTCGAAAAGGCATAAAAGTCTACTGTCCAAGTGAAGGACTTGGACGAGATGCTCTCTAACGATATAGCATAGTTAGTCTTCAATGCCCAAAGCCAAGCGATACCAATCCGCACAGAACTAACTTCCTAACGTGATTGATCGGGTGTTCTTGTTTGTCCAGAGAAGCAAGTTAAGCTTGTCAGCATCTGTCGTCCAGTTGAAGACGACATTCTGGCCTGATTCGAACGTGGGGCCTTCAAGACCGGCCGGTTTCACGGGGTATGTGAACTTTGTGTTGGTATCATCGGCGGCGAAAGCATTCCGTGCCAAGCTAAGCACGAAAAGGAACGAAAAGATGTTCATTTTGCCGGTGTCCAGGATCCTCGAGCACAATGCCGAAACTCGAGGTAAGGGAGTGGGACGGTAATGAGCGCTGGAGCCTGGTACTTATGGATTTGGGTCGCTCCTTATGCGCTCTTCCTTGATCTTCGACATCAGGCTGTGACAGAGTATTACATTTTGGGGGGGGGGGGGAAGGCGCACTATCAGGAAGACGTGCAGTCCCCCCTCCTTCTTTGGGTTTTGCAGTGCCTTGCTGCGGTCCAGATCAGCATCAAGTAGGGACATGCTTTGCATGTGCGACTTGAAACCTGATTTAATTCAGCGCCCGGCTTTGATACAACCTCGCTTCACCAACGGGCCACCGCAGTTGGCGGCACACAAGACATGGTCTTGGGTGGCTACACCATTTCAATTTGTCACTGTTCACTTTTATGGATGCTGTGTTGAAGTTTCACTGCAAATGAGACTGTCGTGCCAGTCATACCCATCGAGGAAGGATGGAGATGGCCATGCCATGCCGACTGAGAGTTTGCAGTGGTTGTATTCGTCTCGATAGCCCTTCCCAAGTCAAAAAGTCGATCAGGCTGGCAGTTGGGCGTCTATCGGTTGCAATTACGTTCTTTTGTATGCAAGCGATCCTTTGGGTTCCAAGTGTGGTTGTGTGGCGGAGCCTGGAAAGGAGTCAAGGCAGGTTGATGAAAGTAGAACGGGAAAGGAAGTGGCGCATATTGTGTGCAACATTGAACGAGACTAGGGCATAGATCCTACGGGGAATGAGTAGATAAGCGCGAATACGGGGGCAAGTAAGAAAGTACTCTAGCAGCACCAATAGCCAAGCTTGAACGAATGAGATTGAAATGATATGCCAGCCTGGCGATAAAAAAGACCTTGCGCCGGAGGTTTCTATGATGCCAATGATAAGCCAGAAAGCAGCATGTACAGTTGTCGAAAGGTGCCTTCAGAGAAATATAAGCAGATCTACCCCACTGCCTTATTTCCAAGAGAATGAAGCTGGCATAATCTTTTCATGGGATCGAAAATTCTGCGTGTCACACAAAGTTATCTGCGTACGCTAAAACTAGAGGGTCTCTGAGTTGCCATAAATCAGATATCTTCTCAGTCGATACCGGTCTGAGTGTCCCTCATGGCATGCTTTGACTTCTTGAACTGGGCATTTTGCGAAGAGCTGATACATATTGATAATTGTGCTCGCGCTTCAATACTCTTTACCCGAACGTCTGCTGACATAGTCCCACTATACAGTATAACAGAGCTTGAAGCTGCAGTCAGCCCCTTCAGCCCGGCAATGGTCTACTTGTGAGTGCTACGCAGACCGCGCGGGCTTGCGAAAAGTGCAGCGATGAGAGCGATTCCGGCAAACGTAGTAGAGGCGGCGAAGGCATACTGGATGCCCTCATAGTAGACATGGCGAGCGGGTAAGCGCACCTCTGCAGGGAGGGTCTTGAGGGCTGTCACGGAATGCCGAATCTCGTCGATGAGCTGAGTTGAGAAGGGTTTTCGTCAGTAACGGGGTCATTTCCACTCATAAAGGTCATACTAGTAGGGACAGGAAGGAAACATACTCTCGACTTATCGGGGATGTCGCCGAGGACTTCGGGTAGTCGCACACTGAGCGTTGTCTGCACGATGGCAGAAGTTATCGCCACGCCCCATACTGTGCCCAGAGAGCGAACGAGATACACCGTCGAAGCTGAAACGGCGTGGTCTATGATAATTGAGATAGTGTCAGTTGGGTTTGGGTTGGGCTCATTCTACAATGGCCTGATAAACTCAAGAAAAAACTCACCGGCGTGGTCAAACGAGGCCAGCGTCGTGAAGAGAATCGCGGGGTAGATGATACCCTGACCCAAATTCGCTGGAAAGATGTAAACGAGATACTTCCACTGCGAGTCCTTGAATTGGAGGGCAGTGACGAGTGAATTGCCGAACAGCATCAGGAATGCGCCAGCTCGGACGAGCCAGATGAGCTTGCCCCAGCGAGACATGACAATGCCCGCAAATAGACCCCCGAGAGGCGTGGCAAGTGATGGGATCGCCAGTCTCGCGCCAGCTTTAGTCGCCGAGTCAAGCAACACTACCTGGAAGAAGAGCGGAAGCATGAAAAGGTACTATAGTCACAGTCATATTAGCAATCATAAAGCCAACGTTTCGAGCAGTGGATGGCTAGTCCATGTGAGGTCTACGTACCGCATACGCCGCGAGTCCCGCGCAAACATTGGAAATCTGCGTAAAAATGGGCAACTTTCCCCGGAGCATCCTCAGTGGAATGACGGGAATGGCCTTTGTCCGCGCCTCGACGAGCACAAACAACGCCAATAAAAGCACACTACCCACGAGCGTGCCGATGACGATGGGACTACCCCACGGAAGCTCGTTGCCGCCCAAGCTCAGGCCGACGAGCTGCACGGAGATTGCTACAACCAGAAGCAGTGCTCCAGAAACGTCCACCCTCGACCATATGGCCCTCCAGTCGTTGGTGTCAATATCGAACCCGCCCTCGGGGTTCTTGATCACCAGGGCCCCTAGAGTAAGTGCCATGATGGAGACGGGCACCTGCAGCAAGAAGCACCAGCGCCAGCCGATGTGGTCGGCAATGGAGCCACCAAACGAAGCACCAGCCACGGCGCCGAAGCCGAACATGCCGTTCTGGAGGGCCTGGTACATGCCTCTCTTGCGGAAGGGAATCATGTCCGAGTTGACAATCGTGGCTATTTTCTCGATATCAGTCCCCCTTCGACGCAGCATTTTTTTGGGGCAGATTTGAGAGCAAATGGACTGGTAAACTCACCCATCGTCATAAGACCACCGCCTCCAAACCCTGTCAGAGCGCGCATGCAGTTGAGAAGCACCACGTCGCCCGCCAGCCCGCAACCAAGACAGCCAACCCCGAACGTGATACTACTAACAAAGAAACACACCCTCCGCCCGAAAATGTCAGAAAACCGCCCGTACAGCGGCTGGAACGCGGTGCTGGTGACGAGGTACGACGTCGTCAGCCAGCTCGCCGTGTTCGCGGCGTCAAACTCGGAGCTGATGACGGCGTACGTCGCCGCCGTAATGGTCCCATCAAACCCGTAGAGGAAGACGTTGGCCATAATAGCCAGCTCGATCCAGAGAAACCCTCGTGGCGGCTTCCATGACTCGCCGGCCTCGATGGCGGCGGCTGGGTCGCGGAGGAGCGGTTGGTCTTCGCGAGGCGTGGCTACGGTGGCGGTGGTGGTTTCTGAGTCTGGGTCGGAGTAGTACGGGGGCGGCGGTGATGCCCGGTTCGGAGGGTTGGCTCGTGCTCTGCCGACTTCATCGTCTGAGAAGCGGGGCCGGGAGCGCGGGCTGCTCATGGTGTGCCGGTTGGTTGACTTGAATGGAACTCTGTTAGGAAAGTTTGTTGGAAACGCTGCTTTACTTGATTTGGAGAGTAGCCGGGATTGGATGGAATGCTTCCAGGAGTATGGAACAATGTGATTGACTGTGGGGGGGATCGGTCGCTGGCAGGATCGGGAAATCTCAAGCAAAGAGCAATGAGAGAAAGTTCAGAAAGCAGCAAACCCGCCGTGACCTTTCTTGCAACCCCTAGTGTACTTCAATTGCTAAGTCCAGTCTGCAGTGCCAGGGTATGTTGGGATGACGGCAAGCGTGAATTCGCCATGGAGAAATTTCTGCAGTTTCATGACTCCCCGCCGATGGAGAACCGGCGTGCAAGGTCCGGATAATGTCCGTCGCGCGCATCCTGTCAGTGGGGGGCTACCGGGTGCCGGGTCGGGTCGACCAACGTCAACGAGATTCCTACCCTGGAGTCGGTAGTGGATGAATGTGTTGCACCATTGACACGCAAAGCACGCAATCATGTATGGAGCTTGACATTCTTCATGGGCTCTTGGTTCCATTTACATGCCTGATGCCATTCAACGGTACTAAGAAAAACCCGACTGTCTCCACTGACGAAGAACCGTAGCCGGCCCCGAACGATCAGAGACGTCCATCAGGGCAACATCTCTGACTGGCCTCTCGGAGGTTTCTAAGCTACCTACCTAGGTAAGAGCTACAGCCACCTATAGAGACATTGATCCAAAAGCTGTCTTTGGCCCTAACGGACTGCCTTGGTAAGTCATCACGGCTATCAGGCCAAATGAAATAGGCAGGCCTCACATGGCTTGTCAAATGATTCATACCAAACACAGCATCTGGCAAAAGTCTCCTCACCTCAAGGACTGTGCATGAAACTTCGTGACACTTACCAACAGACGGCACTGGGAACCCAAACAGTTCACCACCCCTGGACGATAGCAGCCTCTTGGAGCAGTCGTAACCCTAAACCCAAGAAAGAACCACGGAAAGAGGCACATGGTCTATCACAGCCTTCCGAAGAGGCCCTTTGCCCCCAGAGAAAGTTGGTCCTCTCACCATGAGATTCCATACTCCGGGGCCAACACGTAGGGAAGTGAAGAAGTTGCGTTTGTTGACAGAGCCAGAGAAAGCGCAGTACTGCAACAGCTCGAGTCTTCGTCATGAAGTACGAACCATGCAGTATACAACGTTAGCTTACAATCAGGGCCCGAGGAACTTCTCTCGTACCACCGCGGGAAGATACTTCTCGAATAAATATCCACGCAGAGCCATTTTGCCACATCAAAGCCAGACCCGTGCTGGTTCTGACCACAACAGCTGAGACTTTTTCAGCGGAATATCCGTTCATGAAGTTAATGAATTCCCCAGGTTTTCTCGCCGCGGATAAACATCCTCAAAACCTACCCACGAAGTCCGCGTGGTTGAGATGCTCGTTCCATCAGCCCCACCGAGGCTTAACATATGCCTCACATTAGGTAGACATGTTGGAAAGCGACCCAAGCTAGGGAGTTTATTAATTTATTTTTTCTTCGAAAGAAAAGCTAGGCTCTTGAAAGTATGATTTCAGACACCAGCTGACTAGACAACTCAAGGCCGATGGCTTCTAGACGGAACTTTCGGATTTGATGAAAATTGCCATGGTATTGAAAGCTGGCTCAGCGTTTAGTCCTGAGAGCCTCAGAGCCAGAAAAAGTGGAACGTGCGCCAGACTGTCGGAAATCTCGCTTACATAACACTGACCCACGTCACCTGACAAATAAAATCGCAGCCGCCGCAGAATTTTTCAAGATAGCTTCCCTCTCGTCCAACACCAAGAAAACCAACATATGCCGACACCTCTGGAGGATCAGACGCGCGAGCAGAGGAATTATCCAACGAACCAACAAGAAAGTTCTAGTCTGGCTACTTGTGGCTTTAAAGGTTGAAAACAATCTGTAGGCGCCGTCTGATCCTCTAGCACCACTGAAGGTATGTAATTTTTTTTTCTTCATGCACACTGTTCCCCATCGTCTTAAAGATGATTTGGATTAATCTCCATTTGTATTTGATATCTTATTAAATGATTTTTATTCACACTGAAAATTCTGAAACGACATTACTTGTTACCTTTTTGTTTGCTCAGTTCTGGACGTATACAGTCGGCTAACAAGACGGTCAGGTTTGCCTGCAATCTACATTTCCAGTTGAGGCCCTGAGTGTTGGATTGGCTGGATTTTTTGATACCATGGTTATAGTTGATTATCATGCCAATACATCTTTTTCATCAAATCGATTCTGTTCCACGCGTGGTGACCTAGTTCGATGCTCGTAGCAAAAGGCTCCATCAACCTTGAATACGTGAATCGTGCTTGGCAGAGTTCCAGTCAACTGCTGCCCGGGACGTCGGTGATCCCCGGGAGGCGCGGCGATGCAGGCCGTGGAGCCCCATCTCTGATGGAATGCCTCCGGGCCAATGGTGAACCTGCTACGACGACAAGCCGCGACAGAACGCGGGCAGGCGGGCACTCGCGCGGCTCTGCGCCTCCAGCAAGCTCCATCCTCCGGGCCTTGGGAGGCTTGGGAGGCCTCGGGATCTCTGGAAACTCCGTACTTCATAGGGACAAAGACGGCGAGCGAGCAGTTCGTTGCCGCACGCGTGGGCGGTGCAGATGAGCCACTGAGAGGAGGGGGGTTTTCCTGCAGGTCATGGTCAAGTGCCGGTTTAGCCTGGTTGGAAGGGACCAATGTCGATGAGGTTTCCCGATGGCACACTGGCCTTGGAAGAACACTCTTAATGCAGCAAATTAAGGAAGCATTCCCTGGAAGCAGATCCGGGGGAAACTAATCGGTTTCCCTTCCAGAGTCCCAGTAGTGTTCGCAGAGTCAAAGAAAGTTGGAACTTGGCAGTGGGCGCCATGTCGTGGCAGATAAGCAGGGCCCATCCCAACACGCCGATTTCTTTCTCCCGCGAAACAATTAATCAAATGATGACAGAGTTGGCGATGGAGTTTTGGGCTCTCTGGTGACTTGTAAGGTAGCGACTAGGAAGTGTCTTGGGCAACCTCGTCTCCATCGACCACGAGGCCAGACCAGGGCCAATGTGGGGGCATTTCTCGCTGGGAGTGTTTCTTCGCGCTTCCCGAGAGATTCCAGCCTCCAGAATATGGCCTAGCAGCACATAGTGCAGGGGAACGATGGGATTGGGCGCAACTGTAATTGCCTACCTGTGCCATGACGACACCAGGCTGCGATGATGCGGGGCAGAAGCTTCCAGGGTTCAAATGGTGAGTGATGGACGCGATGCATCTTTGAAGTCTTGCGCCACGGACGCCGTCTGATCTGTCAAGAATGTCAAGAATGCTAGCTTGGCCTCTCCCGAGGGTTAAACAATACCTTAACACATAGCCTCCGCGTGGATGGTTGCGTGACGACTCGTTTGTCCGTTTCCGCGCCTGCTGCGCAAACCCGGCTCAAACCGCCTCAGGGGCTGCGCGCGCTTTCTCGCACCTCTTCACCTTCTCCTGAACTGTCCTCCTCTTGAAATGTGTCCGCGGGGTGGGTATCTTTGTCTTCTTGAAAGCTGACCAGCTGTCTCGGGTGACAAGGATGAGGGGCGGATGACAAGGCCGCCCGGGGATGTCACGGCCTGTCATTGTACTGAGCCACCCACCCTCCTAGCTTCGGATGGCGTGCCGCACCAAATCTGCCTGGTCACAAGGCTGCCTTGCGCCGTGATCCCTCGATTTCTTGGTACTCTTATGTTTTTGTTGAGGAGGAGCGATGTTCTCACTGATGTTGGAAGAACTTGTCGCTTCGTGTCTCGCTCGTAGTTAGTAGACTGGCGACTGACGAGTTCCTGATGCTTTTTTTTTTCTTTTTCGTGGGGTTGGCTTCCGGGTCGCAGTGGCCAGTGCAAATGACGTAAGAGCGTTGATAGACATCGCTAGCCCCTCGGCAAGCTTTCGATAGTAGGTAGGCCTGGAGCGAGCATATCGTAGTTCCGAGTCGCAGACTGTCGAGATGTATAGGTAAGGTAGGCTGCCTGGAAATGGATAGGTACTATCAAAAAATTAGAAAAAGGCACTTCATTGGGGTTAGATGTACCTTAGGTACTTACCTCCCATCCTTTGTGCCCTGGTCGAGTCCAAACGCTCTGGAGACTGGATGGATATACATAGTAGTAAGTAGCGTGGGCGGTCGAGGGTCAGAATGTGATGGTGACATGGGACACCCTTCGACAATCCGTGGCTCGCTGCACATTAGTACTGCAATAGCAGTTCCTTTCCGTCCGCTGACCTTGGCCGGGCCGCCCAGAGTCTTCGCAAGTCGTGGCCTGGGCGGCGGGCACTGACAAGACCGGGCCCAGAAACGAGGTCTGGCTGATCCCGTCCCATCCCTCAATGTTTGGCGCCCTGGTCGGGATGGAAGGGAAAGCCTCAGGGGGATGCCTCAGAATGATCATCGAGGTCCGAAGAAGCGGGCTGCCATGGTATAGTAGAAGAGAGGTACTCCGTAGACTAGGATGTGTAGGAAGGTAAGGTAAGATCGGGAGGCATGGACATTATTACCTGCCCACCTGTCGCCCTGCCCTGATTTTGCTGTTTCTGCTTTGGCAACAGCGCTGTGTGATCCTGCCCGCTACGCAGCATTGCACTTTCCCATCTCAGCCCAACACAAACTGGACGGCCCACGGGTGACGGACAGGTCGACGGGCTGCCCCTCCATCTCTTCGCTTCCACGGTCCCTTACCGTCCCTCCACCTCCCCTCCATTCTTTCCCCCCTCTCTCCCGTCTTCTCTCGCTCCGAACGCTCTCTCCACTCTCTTACCTTTCTCTGTCCTTCTCCCAGGCACTTCCCTCTCACATCACCCACCCTTATTACGTTGGCTGGGCTGGAATCGACTGGATATTCGTCTATTGGTGTGTTCAATAGACAGATTCCCATCCTCTCACCCAACCAAAGGCGATCACAGTCCCACCAGCCTCCTAAATAAAACTAATCTACCACGTACACCCGTAAACCGAACTAGTCACTACCTGACTACACATGCACACCATTTAATCCGTGGGCTCCCCTCCGTCATCATCGCACATCCTTTGTTCAACCCCCCGCCTGCCAATCTACACCATCCAGCCGAACCGTTGTCGCCCGTTTTGACATTTCTCTGCCGCTTCCCGAAAACAGCGTTGCCCTTCGACGCCCCCATCGCATTTAGCGATGGCTGGAGTTTATAGAGAAACCACTCGGGTTTACCGGGACCCGACTGAGTACTCATCCGATGAAGACCGATACAAGACCTCCACAGTTCGCCGTTACAAAGTAGCGCCAAACCGAGTCGAGAGGGTCGAGCGCACTGAGCGTGTCGAAGTCGAAGAAGACGACCGCCGGTCACGATACTCGGGCTACCCGCTGCGTACCTCCGGCGAGTATGGCTATGCCCCCGACCGCCCGCGCTCCGCCTTTGACTCCCGGAGTCAGGTTGTTGAGCGCACGGTAACCGAGCGTGAGCGCGAAGTTATTGACCCCTACAGAGGTGACACCCGCAGCGTCGTCTACGAAAAAGAGTACGAACGTGAACGTGAGCGCGCACCCCGCTTCGATGCCGGCCGCTTCGACGATGTTCGCAGCGTCGCCGATAATCGAAGTGTTATCGAAGTCGAGCGCGAGCGCGTTGACTGGGACCGCCGCTCTAACAAGTCTCATCGCCACCACCACCATCATCATTCACCCGAGACAGAAGTCAGAGTCGACAAGCGTGTCGAACGCCGTGAGGATGGAGACGTCACAGTCGAGAAGCGCGTTGAGGAATACCGGGACGATCATGGCGGGGCAGAGGTCGAGAGATACCGCAAGGAGACCGAGTTCTACTCTCCCGTCAGCCCCCCACCTATCCCCCAACCCGTCATCATTCGTCAGCAAGCCCCGGAGCCCCAGAAGATTATTGTTCAGGAAGCTGCACCGCCCGCGCCCATCATCGTACCCCGTCAGGAACCTGGCATCGTCGTCCTGAGAGAGCGCGAGTCCCCTCGCGAGGTTGTTCGTCGCGATCCCCGCGAAGATGAGTACTACTACCGCCGTGAGACAAAGGAGCTTGGCCCGTATCGCCGAGATGAGCGTGAGTACCACTACGACCGACGAGGCCGTGGTCGCGGCGAATACATCAGCGACGACGAGGATTACTACATGAAGCGGACTGTCATTCGCCGAAACCGAAGCTCCAGCTCAGACCATCATCACAAACGCCATCTTGCAGAGGGAGCCCTCGCTGGCGCCGGTATCGCTGCTCTCGCTGCGAGTCGAAGAGACAGCCGCGGTGAGCTTGGTGCCAACCGTGGAAGCAAAGTCCTTGCTGGTGCTGCTATCGGTGGCCTAGGCACTGAAATCATTCGACGGGCTCGTAGCGCGTATGAAGACACCTATCACGACGATCATCACTACGGGTCTCGCTCGAGATCTCGCAGTCGCAGCTCCCGCATCAAGACCGGTCTGGGAATTGCTGCCGCCGCGCTCGCTGTTGCAGGCGCCGCAAAGTATTACCAGAGTGGAAAGATCGAAAAGGAAGAAATGCATCGTGGTCGAAGCCGCGGCAGAGGCTACTCTGTTTCAAGCTACTCTGTATCTAGATCTCGTAGCCGCAGCCGCAAGAGCCGGAAGAGCCGCAGTCGCTCCGTGGCTAAGGCTGCCGCTGCGACGGCTGCCGCCGCGGGTTTGGTCCAGCACTTCCGCAACAAGTCCAAGTCCAAATCTAGGAGTAGGTCGCGGTCTAAGTCTCGCATCAGGACTGGAGCAGAGATTGCCGCCGCTGGTCTGGCAGGCGGAGTTGCTAGCAAGATCTATAAGAACCGCAAAGAGAAGAAGGACCGCGAGGTAGATCGAGAACTGGAAGAGCAGGACTACGAGGAGGAAGTCCGGCGGGAACGGCGTGAACGTCGTCGGTCGCGCAGCAGGTCCCAGGCCCGCTCTCTATATTCCGAGCCGCGCAGCGCTGATCCTGAGCTAGGCTTAGTTGAGTACGGAACAGAACCGCTGCCGACCGACCCGCCTTACCCGCCGGACGACGGGTATGAGTCTGCAGCGAACGAGAGGCGACGCCGTCGACACCGGCGTATGTCTGGCGATGATTACGACGGCCACGAGCCGGCGAAGAAGAGGAGCAAGAGCCGATTGAGAGACATGGCGGCGGCTGCAGTTGGAACGGGAGCCGCTGCGATTGGACTGAAGCAGTATCAAAAGAAGAAGGAGAAAGAGGAGGAGGAAAGACGAGAGGAGAGGCGAGAAGACAGACGGTCGAGGGAGAGAAGCGCCCGATCCCGCTCTAGAGACAGATCCGTCACACGCGAAAGGACTTACTCAAGAGAACGCGCCTACAGCAGGGAACGCAGCACAGACGACAGGATGAGGAACAGGGAAAGAGAGAGAGACCGCAGGAGTAAGGAGTCCAAAATCGAGCACACGCTAGTAACCCAGTTGAACTGACAACCATCACAGGATATGAAGAGGATGCTCGGGATGACGGGTACTACGACAACTACAGCCGTCCTCCCTCACCTCCACACGCCTCTGGCGGCTCATTCTACCCGCCACCACCAGCAGCTGCCGCGGGCTTCACCCAGCATCCCAACATTTCCACGGCCAACCTAAGAGATCAGTATCCGCCGTACCCGTCCTCGGACTCGGTGTACCCTCCGGGACCACCGCCAATGGGGCCATCTCCACCGATGGCCACAGGCGGGGCCGGCGGCTATCCTCCCCCTCCGCCTGCTGGTGGTCATCCACCTCCAGGCGGTGGCCCGCCGGGAACGAGATTTGGTCCTGACCATGTGAGTGAAGACATATCTCGTAGCTCCTCACCACAAGCTGTCCAGCCAGCCGGTCTGGGTCGTGAGGGTGGGTTGATCTAATCGTTGTTTCTTTTGTGATATTTCTTCGTTCGTGTCTACATCGGAAGCTGACCTTCAACGCAGATGGTTTAAAGTGGCGAGAGCGTGTCAAAAAGTTTCTCCCCGAGTCACTGTCTAGGTCTCGTTCCCAGTCCCAACCGCGATCTCGGTCTCGGTCCTTATCTCCTGCGTCTTCATCGGTGTCGAGCGCTTTATCCGCAAAGCGTCCTCATACGGCACAACATTCTTCCTCCAAGTCTGTTGCCTTTACTCTGTCACCCCAATCATCCCAAACCTTGCGGCTGCACCGCTCAGCCCATGAGCAGCAGGCCGAGGAAGAGGCTAGGAAAGAGGAAGAAGTACCGGCCCTCAGCGAAGAGCAACTGGCGACACTGCGGCCTGTCCTCAACCGTAGACGTTCCTCCTCGGATCCACCTAGTAGTAAATCGGTCTCCCGTCGCCGCAAGAGGGAAATCGAAACACCACCAGAATCGGAAGACGAGGTTGAGGTCCTGCCCGACCGCTTTGATACTCAGGGACGACCCGTTGGTGGTGGTGGCACTTCGGGGGCCATGCGATGGAGACAAGGGGCGTTCGAAAGCCGGCCACGAAACGGCAAAGGATTGCATTCAAGCGGGGCATGGGCTGTGGGTGGTACAGATGGCGATGTTGTGCAGAAGATTGCGAGCGACATTGAAGGCATGATCAGCGGGCAAAGCAGCTGGAAGAGTCTGCTGAAGGATGTGGTGGGAGCGGTTCAGGAAGTGCAACATGGCGGCGACTCGCGTAGGATAGAGAACAGTGACGACGATGATTATGACGACCGACGAAGGAGGCGGAGGAAGAGCAGATGACGATTTATGACCATTTCTTTGGATCTCTTATATGAATCTTGCGACGCCATGACTCGGCGCTTTTACATTCTACATTCTTAGGACCTAGACACGACATGATGTTACAGATAACGAATTTATGACGCTGGTTCGAGACACTTTTGGTAGATATCAATACATGAGCAGAGTTTAATGATTGCGCTTGGTTGACCGAGAACGCATTTAGAGGTATAAAATTTCAGACAAAAGAGCACGTATTATGTACTTTGATTGGGCCTTTCTATTTCTAGTATCACACAGTTCATCTACGGGGCATCATCTTCTCTCTCCTTGTTTTTCTTTCATCATAATTCGTCGTGCACCGGAGGCTTCTCTGGCCGTCCGCTATCCTTATGCAAGTCGACGCCGACCTTGCCCCGCCACTTTTGGAAGACGCTCCAAAACTCCTTTTCCATGCCGCTCTCCATCTGATCGGGCAGCACGACAACGTAGTCGACGTACAGGTTGCCAAACTCCGTCTTGTGGTACACGCTGTCGCCGTCCTCGTGGAAAATCGGCATGCCCTCGCCCTTGACCGTCTCGACGTGGCCCGGCTGCACGACGCCGCCCCGGTCGCGCGAGAGCCGCACGACGTGGCCGTCGAGGTGCGTCACGTTGCGCGTCCAGTCGCCCATCCACGCCTCGCGCAGCGAGAGCACCTCGGTCCAGTAGAGGTCGTTGTCCTTGCGGCGGAAAAAGGTGCCGTCGACGCGGTCCGGGTTGTCCTGCCCGATCTCGGGCTCCTTCTCGGAGAGCGTGACGACGAGGTTGCCAGCGACGTAGTCCGGGCTCGCGTCCGCCTCGTTCTCGTAGACGATCTGGCTGTCGCGCCCCGCGCCGCGGGCGACGGTGAGCTGGACTGTCGTGGGCTTGCGCACGACGCGCGCGCCGCCGCAGGTGTGGCACTTGTGCTTGATCTCCTGGCCCCGTCCGCCGCAGGCGTCGCACTGCATCTGGACCTGCTGGAACATGCCGGGGGCGAGCTGGTGCTTGACGATGCGCACGCCGCGGCCGCCGCAGACGCCGCAGGTGTCTACTTTGCCGTCCGCGGAGCCGGTGCCGTCGCAGTCTTCGCAAATGTGCTGCTTGTCCCACTGAAACTCGGTGTTGATGCCGTTGTAAAAGTCGCGGAGGGAGATGCCGATGCGGACGTTTACGTCTTGGCCGCGGCGCTGGCCGTGGCCGCCAAAGTGGCCGCCGCCGCCGAAGAAGCGGGAGAAGACGTCAAAGGGGTCGTGGCGGTGGCCGCCGCCGTTTTGCTGCTGTTGTTTGAGGCCCTCGTGGCCGTATTGGTCGTAGATTTTGCGGGTTTCGGGGTCGATGAGGGCTTCGTAGGCCTCGGAGACTTCGACGAACTTGTCCTTTGCGCTATCGTCGCCTCTGTTGTCATAGGAATCACCAATTAGCTTTGTGCGATGAGTAGGGGCAAGGAGGAATAGGAAGACGCATACGGGTTCTTGTCGGGGTGGTATTTCTTGCTCAGCTTGCGATAAGCAGATTTGATCTCACGATCTGAGGCCTTCTTGCTGATGCCTAGGAGGTTGTAGTAGTCCTCGGCGCAGAGGGCCAGCTGGACGAGGCATAGGAGCAGCAGCACGAGTGCTGCCCCTCGGAAGTACATCGTGGGCCCCCTGTGGTGTACTTCGAGATAGAGTACTTTCCTTTCGATGAACCGGGCGCGAGAGAAAATGCTCGTTGACTCGTGGACCTGTTGGATTTCTTAAGCCCTAGAGGAATGGAAAAAGGTAAGGACTTGTCGGAAAAGAAATCGGGTTGCGAAAGAAAGGAGAGAAAAAGAGAGAAGTGAGGTAGGGTATGGAGATAATAGGTAATCGATCCAAAGGAAGCGCGCAAACCAGCTGTCCCAAAATGTAAAGTTCCAACGTGTTAAGAAGGGAGCTACGCAGGTCCGATAAGACATGTTATCCGGACATGTTCATTGGGCGCTGGCTTCTTTGCAGCTTATGCCCCACTCTCGTTGCTAAATTGTGTGGGGCCTTCTGAAGTTCAGACGAATGCGCAGAGACACCCCAGGCACGTCAACTGCTTGAGGCCTCAACCTTCATGACTTGACGTCGTCAGGCCTATTCCAGGCTTCTTGTTGAACAACTTCTTTCCGGACTGCCAAGCCGAAAAACCCCGGAAATCTCGTGGAAGAATACACCTCATACGTTTGGATTGATACATACGACCATGGCATCAAAAAAGTACGCCTTCCTCCCGATGGAGGACGACGAGGTCGGTCCCGCCAAGGTGGTCAAGGACAAGAAGAAGCACAAATCGCGCCATCGCGACCGTTCGAGCGAAAGACATCGGGATCGCGACCGTAGCGATAGACCCTCGAGAAGACGATCACGCTCCAGATCGCCGGCCCGACCCTCAAAACAGTACCGCAAACGAGACGCAGACGACGACGACAGGTGGGCGGACGAGGAGCCACCGTCGGAACCCGAGGAAGCGGACGGCAACGACGAGCCCGAGTTCAAAGAGTCTGCGTCGAAGCGGGTAAAGCTTAGCCACGATGATCGCGACCGCGACGCGGACCTGTCGGATGGCGCAAAGGAAGAACTGGAGCGTCAGCGCGACATTGAGGAGCGCGAGGCGTTTGCGAAGCGGTTACGGGAAAAGGACGACAAGAAGTCAAAGACGGCTGAGAGCCGACGGCCAGAGGTGGATCGCAAGGCGAACATGGAGGATCTCCGCATGAAGAGTCGACAGATGTACCTCGGGAAACGAGAGGCTGAGAAGCTTGCCCTGCTGCGCAAGCAGGTTGCTGAGGAGACGGAAGAGTTGAGGAGCGGCGTAAGGCTATCGGAGCGGGAGAAGGCCGAATTCACCAAGAACCGCGAGATTCTACGGCTAGCGGAGGAACGCCTCAAGATTGATGACCACAAGGATGGGTACTACATACCAGAGGACTACATCACGGAGAAGGGCAAAATCGACAAGAAGAGGAAAGAAGATGCGATGTACAAGAGATACGTGGAGAAGGATGAGTACGGGCAAGAAAAGTTCGTCACGGAGCATGAAGAGTGGGAAAGGGAGCAGGCTACCAAGGCCAGGGCGCAGATCCAGAGGTCGGAGAGAGAAAACGACGATTACTCCTACGTCATGGATGAGGAGCAGTACATCAAATGGAACTTGGGGTCAAGTATGCCTGGAGAGGGCAAATTGACCAAGGAGCAGCAATTCCTGGCGGCGCAGATCGAGGCAGCAGAGAAGAAGCAGCTCACAATCCAGGAGACGAGGAAGAGCCTGCCCATTTACGCATATCGAGATGACTTTCTCGCGGCGATGGAAAAGTATCAGATTCTGGTCATTGTTGGAGAAACAGGTTCCGGAAAGACGACACAGTTACCGCAATACCTACACGAAGCTGGGTTCACCAAGAATGGAATGAAGGTTGGATGTACGCAACCGCGTCGTGTTGCTGCGATGAGTGTCGCTGCGCGTGTGGCAGACGAGGTTGGCGTCAAGGTCGGGCAGGAGGTCGGATACTCGATTCGTTTCGAGGACAACACGAGCGACAAGACGATTCTGAAATACATGACGGACGGCATGTTGCTGAGAGAGTTCATGACTGAACCTGATCTTTCCGGGTACTCGGCCATCATGATTGACGAAGCTCACGAGAGAACTGTCCACACCGATATTTTGCTGGCTCTGGTCAAGGATTTGGCAAGGGAACGGCCAGACTTGAAACTCCTGATTTCATCAGCGACGATGAACGCCGAAAAGTTCGCCGCTTATTTCGACGATGCCCCTATTTACAACATCCCGGGACGAAGATACCCAGTTGACATTTATTATACGCCAGCGCCAGAGGCCAACTACCTGGCAGCCGCCATCACCACGGTTTTCCAAATCCACACAACGCAGGGCAAGGGCGATATCCTTGTCTTCCTCACGGGTCAAGACGAGATTGACGCGGCCGAACAACAAATAGTCGATACGGCAAAAAAGCTGGGAAGTCGTGTCAAGGAACTCGTTGTCTGTCCAATTTACGCCAACTTGCCATCGGAGCTGCAGGCAAAGATCTTCGAACCGACCCCAGAAGGTGCTCGCAAGGTCGTTCTGGCTACCAACATCGCTGAGACCAGTTTGACGATTGACGGTATCGTCTATGTCATCGACCCCGGCTTCGTCAAGGAGAACGTCTACAACCCCGCCACCGGCATGTCAAACCTCGTCGTGACACCCTGCTCAAGGGCGTCCGCGAACCAGAGGAGTGGTCGAGCAGGTCGTGTCGGACCCGGAAAGTGCTTCCGCCTCTACACAAAGTTCGCCTACATGAACGAGATGGACGAGTCGCCCATGCCGGAAATTCAGCGCACGAATCTCAACGGCGTCGTCCTCCAGCTCAAGTCGCTAGGCATCAATGAGCTCCTCGATTTTGAGTTCATGGACCCGCCGCCGACCGAGGCCCTCATCGGCGCCCTCAACCAGCTCTTTGCCCTCCAGGCTCTCAACCACAAGGGCGAGCTCACCAAGATGGGCCGCCAGATGGCCGAGTTCCCCACTGACCCGATGCTTGCCAAGGCCGTCCTCGCTGCCGACAAAGAGGGCTGCGTCGAGGAGGTGCTCTCCGTCGTCTCCATGCTCAGCGAGGCCTCGGCCCTCTTCTTCCGCCCCAAGGACAAGAAGATCCATGCCGACTCAGCGCGCGCCCGCTTCACCGTCAAGGAGGGCGGCGACCACCTGACGCTCCTCAACATCTGGAACCAGTGGGTCGACAGCGACTTCTCGCCCATCTGGTCGCGCGAGAATTTCCTGCAGCAGCGCTCACTGACGCGTGCGCGCGACGTGCGCGACCAGCTGGCCAAGCTCTGCGAGCGCGTCGAGGTCTCGCCCTCGAGCTGCGGCGCGTCCAACCTGCCGCCCATCAAGCGCGCGCTGACAGCCGGCTTCTTCCCCAACGCGGCGCGCCTGCAGCGCAGCGGCGACAGCTACCGCACCGTCAAGAAGAACGCCACCGTCTACGT